ATAAATACTGCCAGCAAGCCACCGACTTTGGCTTTTGCAGCACGTTCCTGCAGCAATTTTCATGCACATACGTATGCGGTGCAGTTGTGGGAGTGGAATCTAATTTTCCGCAGATTTCACCATGTGCAGAAGGATTTTTGTGCCCAGACAATGACCTCGCCCGGCTGTAGGATGTAGGAAATCCAGGAGTGCATTGGGCGGTGGCTTACTTATCCTTGTCGCCTGGCTGGACACCGAATTGGCCCCGTTGCTACCTCGCCCGAATCTAATTTGCATGTTGTCCCCCCGGATCAGCCACCTCTTTTTACGGGCCCCCCGACGACGACTTGGCCGGAATCGAATGGCACGTCGATGCTGAAACCGGTTTTGTGCTCTCTGCCGGGGCTCAAGTGACAGCCTGTCTTCAATGCATTAACCCACAAAGTGTGGATACAGCTGCAGCTCCAGAGAAGCCCCCAAATAGCCGGGTTTAAGTGGTCGGTAGTTTGACAGATTGAGCTAGTTTCGGTTAAATCGAAGGGGTATTGAAACGGCTCACTACGATTGGTCGTTCCTCGAAAGCTTCAGCAGCACGGTTCCTATCTCATGGTTGTTTAGATTTGTTTATATATTAACCTTCACAGAATACGGATTAAAAGTATTGACTTTGCGGGGTTCTTGTCGTAATCCATTTACTAGATGCTAAATATTATTGCCTTATTCTAAACGTTTTCGTGGCGGCATTTATCATTGCCACCATATCCTCTCTCACGCTTTTAGCCAGCCATAAATCTTTCCTGGCGGCATTGTCCTGCTGCCTTTGCCTTAGCTGCTGCGTTGCAGCCTTTGAAATGCCAGTTCAAGTTGCCCCATAAGTGGCTTAAATGTTGAATTTCAAATACAATGCGAGCGGGGCGAAAGCGAAAGGGGAACTGCAACTGCAACTGCAAGGGGAAGGGGAAGGGAAAGGAGAGAAAGTAGCAACGGGAACGGGAAAAGCAGAAAACTAAAACAGGACACATGGCCTGGCCGGATGAGGGCAGGACGAGCTGTTCGCATTGTGCCGAGTGCCAAGTTATGGGCCTGGCCTCCTCGCACCGCCATCGCTCCACCATCGCCACCGCCGTGTGCCATGAATGTCCTTATAAATTGTCTGCAATGTTAAATGTTGCATGTGTCTGCTCCCTGCAATCCCAACTCCCACACCGCAAAAAACGTGGTTTTTACAAAACGTATCCACACTTTCTTTAGAATAAATTAAGATTGGCTTATAATTCAATTATACTATTTATAGTTAACTTTTTACAACAATTTTTAAGTTAGGTACCAGCAATATTGAGCTGAGTAAACTGGTAATACTATATGTGAGCCAAGGATTACTTTTTTAACGCAACTATTTAAAACTTTTAATCTTGGATACCAGAAAAACTAAGCAAATTACATAGAAAACATGTAAGCTTTATAAACACAAAAAAAAATTGGCTAGCTTATGGGTTTTCTTAGATATTGGCAGACTTCCTTTATATTCTAGAAACCTGTAATTTTTTTTAATTATTACCTTGTAACCTTGTAACAAAAAATCAATTAAAAACGTAGTTGGCTCGAAAACTGTTTTTTAAAGGTTCTCTTGAGACGAAATAGTGCTCGACTCATATATTCTAATATTTTAAACAATACGTGATTAAACCCTAAATGTGTAATGCTGAATGATTCTTGGTAAAATGTTCGCAAATAATGAAGAGTCAAATAGTTTTCCAGTGCAGCGCCAAACTCCCACTCCGGTTGAACTCGTTCGTGTAGGTTGCCTTTGACTTTGGCTGCAGTTTTGCCTGCAGCTCAGGAATTTATGGCGCTGCCTCTGGCAGACAAGGATACGTATGTGCTGGTGTGTGTCACTAATCAGCACACGTTTTAGTTCCCTGCCGTTGCAGGAAGTGGAAGTTGAAATTGTTAAAAGCAATAAAGCTAATAAGTGATGTGGCAAATGTGCGGCCTGGCTTTGGTTTCCCTCTGCCTCTGCCTTTGTGTGTGTGTGTGTGTGTGTTTGGGTGAGTGAGGGGGTCGCTTTCCATTTTCCATTCTCCATTTTCCAACTACCCCAGATCGAGCTGCACTCGCCATTCTGTTCACGTGTCCATCGCTAGTTTTCGAGTCCGTTTCCACTGCCAGCGGCACGGGAAATCAGCAATTAGTGGCAGACCTAACGCCCCAAGCCTGAGTTTCCTAGTTGCCACAGAAGCGTTCAGATCAATAGTTTTCCAATGTTTTAGGAGGGGTTTGTTGTATGGAATTTCATAAAAAATTTTGTGAAACAATGTGACTAGGGAAGTTTGCCAATTGACTCACATTCTTGAAGACTACAATGAAAATGGCCATTATTTTGCAAAGTGTATAATTGCAGTTATAATTGTATAATGTATAATTGCAACGGTATAATTTAATTTTATTACAAAAAAAATGTATTATGGATCTTAAATTAAAAGTGAAGATGTTAAAAAACGAAAAAACTATATAATACTAAACTATAAACTATATTAAAATAAACTATATTAAAATATGTTTGTAACTTTTCATATTATTAGTTAAAGAATTTTATGACTGAACTATAATTTCGTATCAAGGTATAAAGGCTAAATTTCCTTGTTAAAAATTTGTATTTCTTTTTTTGATAAGGTCTGCTTGTATAAAAGTATTAAATTCGGAAAACAACGACGGCAGTTCGAATAACTTATGTTATGTGATACTGTAGTTTTAAAAATATAGCTATAATGATATTTTTCATTATTATATTATCTCATAAGCTGTTTTGCGCTTAATATGATTTATTTGATCTATTGCTTTTACCACAACTGTATGTGTGTGAGTGGACGGGTTCGAGGTGGTCGTGTGTGGATGTGAGTGTGTATGTGTGGGGTGGGCACGCATTTCCGTCAGCGCCAACTGTTTCCGGCCGCTCAGTGCACTTTGACTTGGCTGCCAGGACACTTGGAAGCCAGAAGCCAGAAGCAGGACTATAAGCAGAACCAGAACCAGAACCAGATTCCGTCCTTCGGGGTTTGGCCGGCTTTTGTGCGGCCTGCCCGTCCTGGGCCGTGTAATTTTATGACTAATTAGTCAGCTAGTACGTCAAGTTGGTAAGTACATAAAAACCGAAGCGACGACTCCGTTTAACTTAAGTCCATTAGGGGAGTGGGGCGTCGATCGTTGGGCGTGGCCATTTATTTGCCCTGCTGCGCTTTTAATTGCTTGCCAGCAATTTCTTTTGCCTTTTTATGGCATGTCTCGGCTGCCATTACAGCAGCAACATTTGCAGCAGCAACATCCACGCAGCAACAGCAGCAACGGCAGCAGCAGCAACTGCAGCAGCCTCCGGTGTGTCTACAAAGTTGAGTTGCAGTTTTAGTTGGCTGCTGTCGGCTGTTTTGTTTTGCTTTTGTTTTATTTTGCTTTGCTTTCTTTGTTGCCCGCTTCTCGCATTCTTTGTTCTTATTTGGCTTTGTGTAGTTTTGCATCATAAAACACACAAAGCACAATGCTGGGACCAAGGAAGACATTCCCTGGTGCTGCTATAGTTTTTCCTGCTTCTTTGTGGTTGCTTTAAGCCATCTTTAAGGCGGTTAAATGAAGCCGTAGGCGGGGAAAACAATTCCGTGCAGGGATACAGATGAAACGTCGGTGCTTACTTGACAAGATTACCACTTTTAATCATGCGTAAAAGCTCATAAAGAACATAACAGAAATAATTGTTTGTCAAAAAGGTACTTTTAATCAACATAAGAAGTTTTCCAAGAACTCATTAAGGCTGAGCACAGAATGCACAAACAAAATAAAGATTTATTGCAAATATGACTTGGTTATTTCAAATATTTTAATAAGAAATGCAGTATCAACGACATTATTTTTTTCAATGAAGATATAAGATCTCTTATATCTTTTATAAGATATTAAGGTTTAAGGTAGTTGATTCACGCCTTGGGTATAAATATCTTTACCTTAACCTTTATAACCTCATTAATTTAATAAAAAAAATAAGAAGGTGAGGCAACGCCAAATATTTCTAATTTATCATCTGACCAAAGGACGACAAATGATTTCCGTTGCCAAATGAGCCACTTCCGTTGCGAGAACATAATTTTCTGGAGACCACACCCATCGTTCTAAAAACATGAAGAAATGTGTCGGATGGCATTGGCGAAACATTGGCGTGTTGAATTTAAATTTCACTCCATATACACACGAGATCACGAAAAAATTTAAATGACAAGCGACTAATGGGAATTTCCAACAATTTCACACGGCAGGTGGTGCGAAAGTTTGCCACCTCTGGCCATCCTTTGCATCGAAAATCAGCTAACAACACAACAAATGGCTTCATTTATTTGCGTCTTTTGTGCGATGTTGCACGGAACTTCCTGCCACCAGGTGGAAAGACAAGGACTGGGGAGCGCAAAGGCAGCTGAAGAAAATTCACCAGGTGGGGATTGAGTTTGAGTTTTTCGGGGGAGTCCAGCTTAGATCCGGCGAGCCCCAAATCCGAAAGTGTATAAAGTTTACACTGAAAAGGTTGCCGCCTCCACCAGCGGCAGCAAGAAGTGGAAAGAAACATCAACTATTTATATACAGGGGCAAGTTGCAGCTGCACTTTGCCGTGATTGAATGGCCAACACCGACAGCCGTTAATGTGCTTGGGGTTTTTCATTGAGATAAACTTTTCGCCGCCCGGATACACTAGAGGAAGGGACGCACTTTAAAGTTTTCACCCTTAGCAAATAATAACTTTTTGGTGATGGTATACTGGTCCATAACATGTGCTAACAATACAAGTTTTCTTGAGAAGAGTTTTCTTCTGCCTATTATGCTATTTAGTTTTTAATTTTCAAATGCTTAAGGACAAATCAATGAGTAGAGAATTTAATTAAGTTTTACTCATAGTAGTACAATAAGCTAACATTTCTTATTTAAGTAAACTCAATTTCCTAAGATTACTAGAAGTAATCCAATAATCAATATCACAGTCGACATCAACAAGTTCATGTGTTCATCTTTATGTTCATTATAGATACAAAAAATTAACCACAAGGGTTTGAATTTTTTTTTATTTTATTTCGAGAAACGTAGATTCGTTCTTCAGTATTTTCTAGCTAATTTGGGTGCGATCATCCGTTACTTGTTCGAAACTTTGGACCCCTCTCGAGCCAAGCTTTTGCCTCATCGAGTTCATGTCGGAGATTACCATTCGCTTAATGTCCATCTCCTCGGCGTTGACCTTCATGCAGATATCAATGAACAGGCACAGATCGAGATTCTTCATTTTCTTGGCCAATTCGAAAGCCTCAGCCAGAATTTCCTTTTCCCTCTCGATCTTGCCCAGAATCGCGTGGGTTTTGCATATGATGATCAGACTCAAGAAGCTCCAAACAATGCTCTTGCATTTCACAGCCTCTGTAGAATATAGTTTTGTTACGTAAGAGTCTTAATTGGCTTTCGACTTACCCTCCAAAGCCTTTCGGGCCATGGAGCAGGCCGCATCAAATGAATTATAATCCAGGTGCTCTTGGGCAAGTTCATGCAAAAGATAGGCGCGTTCTATGTGGTATTCGGCAAATCGCATTCGGTTCTCGAGTCGAGCCACTTGTTTCCTAAAAATACAATAAATAGTCAACAAATAATGGTAGGGAAATTATAATATTTAAATATTATATTACTTGAATTTTTCCGCCTTGGGATCGGAGGTCTTCGATCTGGCTATATTAAGGTCAGTTGGTCGCTTGTTACTCGTCTTTTTCAGCTCCTGGTTGGTATTCACTGGAAGCCTGAAAAGAGTCAAAAGGCGCTGTCTGCCTTGCAAGACTGTCATATTGCTGGGAATTTTGTATTCATTAATGCGGGCTAAACCCAAGTAGTTGTAAACCTCATTAGTAAATTCAAACTTCCACGGCATTACGCGATGTGTCTTGATGGTCACATAGTCGCCCATGACCTCCTCAATAAACGTGGTCAGTTTCTGTAGAGTAATCAAAATTACAAAAGAAATTAAATTACAATCCATTTCTCGTTAACGAAAAGATAAATAACATTTTCAGGAACTTACATTAAGCTCACCAACCCGAATGAGCAGTCGAATACTGCGCAGGATCTTGAACATATTCCTCCTCGTCTGGTACTGGATGCGATGTAGATTTTCCGCCTTTTGTTTGTTGTAAAGTTCCTCGTTGGGGTATTTTTGGGGATGCAGGGCGTACATAGGACATCGTGTGTGCAGCATTTTCTAAAAATGACAGGCAGTGGCAAACCCAATTTTGGAAGGCTAATTAAAATGTCAAATCCAAACCGTCAGAGTTCGCTCCGCTTTGTAATTTCTTTCCAGCAGTTCGCCCAAATACTCGGATGACTTTTTACAATGTTTGGGCTGCACATTGGGATCGTCGCGTAGTCTCTTGAGGAAGGCCACGTCCAGCCAGCACTTGTTCAGATAGGATTGGTTGTATATCTTGAAGACCCTCTTTCGTCTTGCGATTTCCAGCGGGGACAGATAAATTTCCTTAAATGTTACGATTTCATTCGATGTTTAATTGTAAGTAACGAGCAACAAACTACCTCCTTTTCCACTAGGCTAACCACATCGCAATCATCCTTGAGTTCCTTGGGCTTTTTGGACAAGCTCATCTGCATTGCATTGATCAGGTGCTTAACTGGCATCGTGGTAGCATCGGATAATGTGTCTTGGAAGTTTTCACTCACCTGGAAAGATAGATTAATTCAATTTTATGTTTAGTAGTTTTCTTGCTTTAACTTGAATAGGGTTTAGAACTCTCCAAACAGGAAATGAATTTATGTACTTACCGCTTTCAGGCGATTGGTAACTGGCTTTCGCTGGGCGGAGGAAAATCGCCTCAAATGACAATGCATGTTTATCTTGGAGTCCTCCAGACGATTGGAGTCATACAGTGCGTCACAGACCTCCAAACTTACTTTTGGAATAGTGACAGGGGGCGTTGTCTTCATCAGTAGATCTGAAATTGAGATATACAGTTGGAGCAGGTTTAAATATTGCTTTGGTGACTCACCTTCTGCCAGGGAGCAATCCTTAAGTGCTTCGGGTGCCAAGCCCATGAACCTTTTCACCTGACTTCGGCGCATCAGAGCCTGCGAGTTGAAGGGATTCAGATCCAAGGCGCTGTTGAAGTAGCGAAGTCCATGCGAGTACTTCTGTCGGCTGAAATAGAACATGGCCCAGTCCGAGTATATGGATGCCAGACGCTCCGGAGACCAGGCAATTACCTCCCATTGCTCCAAGTGCGGCTTTACTCCGGCCGCCGGAGTGTGGATACTGTCTTGGCTGGGCATTGCGGTATCTCGAATATCTCAAAAAACGACAAAATTAGTCGCAATCAACAACCAACAAAGTAAAAATAACAAGTACAAAAGAAAGATGTGTTTTTTGTAATACAATTTTTGTATTTCTGTCATTTTGAAGGGATAGGCCAAGGCAACACTTGCCAAAATAAAAAAAAAAAATGGTTTTAAGGTCTTTTAAATAAGTGAACTTATTTTTTAGAGAAGTAGGAGCCATTAGAAGAATTTGGTAACTGTATGGTCTGCATTGTCGTATTATTTTGGGCTGTGCCTAAGCTTAAATAATAATGTATGCATTCTAAAATATTTGATGAAAGGACATTTTCAAAATGCAATTTTTTCTCAGGCCCGTTTTTCGCAATATGTCAGTTTTCCCTTGTTTAAATATAGTGCAGATGTCTGATTTTCATGAGTAAGTCCTCTTCGACTCTGGTGAGATAGTGAATTTTGGTACCGTTTATAGTCGTGTAAGCAGTTGACTTCGATGTGCAGGCATACCATTGGGGAATGGGTGGCAGGCAAATTGGTCGAACCAAGGCAGATAATCTAAAAGGTTCATCAATGCCCAAGAGTGCCCTTTGTTCGCTATATCAAATAAACAAATTAAAACATATTATTATTCAAAGCGGTCTGTATAAAACTAAAACAAAAAGTAAAATCTTTTTATGGATCATTTAATTTAAGACTTCTGGTTAAGCCGTCTTACCTTTTAAAGATAGTTTTCAGCGAGTGCAGTTTATAGGGATGATCGTCGTAGTTATTGAACGGAAAAGTGTGCTTTCCTTTAACAATGGCATATCGCTTTGCATCGTCTGTATCAATGCATTGTTTTTCGACAAGTACTGAGAAAGCACTCACGATGTTTCCTAGGCATCTAAAGGTGTAATTTGACATGGTGATGTCATTGGTGAATAAACTAACAACCCAAGGAGTTTCAGTAACAGTAGGCAATATTATGCCACATTCGGGAACGCACTGGAGACGACTTTTGGAGTTCTCGACAGCCCAAACCGGTGATTTGGCACTTGAAACCTCTGTACAGGTTCGAACCTGCCAGGAAATGCTGTTCTTTGGCTTGTAACTAGGAGCACAGGTGACGTTTGCCGTAGTTCCAATAAACAAGTTGTGTTCGCAGTCCTGAATATCTCCATTGTAACGACAGGTAGCTTGAATTGAGGGATCTCTGGTTAGCGTATCTGCGCGACACTTGGCAATGCAATCTGGCCATGGACCTTGCCAGTTTCCATTGAGGCACTGGTTCAGATCGCTTCCATACAGTCCGGTATTTTCAGAACAACTCAGTCGCACCACAGTGGAGTCGGATATTTCTGCACCCACTTTATAGGGAAGAACATTGAACAGGGTTTTCACCTGAAGGTTTTTCAGGTTCCCAGGAATCTTGCAGGCTGAAGATTTAGCGTAATTCATTCGAGCAACATCCTCTTCTTTGGTAAGAAACATGGAAGTGGTGCGACCTGTTACCTTTGTAGTTACTTTCAAGGAAGCGAATTCGTATTTTTTCCCTATTTCAGTGCAAATGACGGGTTCCTCGTCTGATTTATCCCAGCAATTCATTTCGCCATCGCAGGTCTTGTTATTCGCTAGGCAACCTCCATAAGCACAGCGGAAGGTGTCATTGGGGCACTTGGAAATAAGGCAATCGCCACTGGTCTCATCACTGCCATCCTGGCAGTCCTTGATGCCATCGCAAACAAACTTAACATCCAGGCAATCGGAACTTGACTTGCACTTTACATGATTTTCGCTGAAAAAGTTGTATACTTTTATAATATTTTCCAAAACAACATTACTTTAAAAGATAAATATGGCGCTTTGGGCAGTATAAAATATGGTTAAGGATTTATAATTAGAACTTCATAATTAAAGATTGTTAAACTCTTTCACTTGGGAATCGTAAATAACACCCAATAAGCAATTTCAAAAATATATTACCTAAAAACTATTTTAAAATACGTTTTAATAATGACACGTTTTCCTCTAAAAACAAGAAAGCAAAAAATTCTAGTTACTTTGCGTTTACTACTACTGACTTTTTAGGTTGAAATTACTTTTTATGCACGCTTGGTATGACAAAATTCTTTTAAAAAGACTTACGGGCATCCCAGCGTTGAATCATTATCGGTGGGATGTACTTCACTTTGATTTCTACTGCAAAGGCTCGGATGTTCGTCTGTGCCGTCCCAGCAATCCAATTTGCCATCACAACGTTGGCTTTTCTTGTAACAGCCGCCATACGAGCACTTGTAATTTGGACAGATCTCTCTATAGCATTCAACGAAGGTCTCGTCACTGCCATCGGTGCAATCCTTATGGGCATCACATCTTTGCGGAAATCTTATGACTTGCCCATTGCGACAGACGAAACCAGTCTGAGCTTTAAGTTGAAATCAATTTAAAATACTTAATTTACCTCGACAAATTAAGTAACAAACCAATTTGCAGGAACATAAAAAGCCAGCAAATTTCAGACAGCAGAAAATAAATAATCATTACTGAATAAGCTAAAGAACCTCTTCGCTCAACGAGTCCGACAATAATGGAAATCAATCGTTTATGAATACTGCGTGTCTTTTAAAAGGCCTCTTTATTAAATGACTTTTATATATGTAAAGAGAGGGAAAACGCAATGACTGCAGATGATTTTTTTGTTGTTTCCTTTAGCTAACTGGTAAAGTATGCTTGTTTTTACTCTAACCGCTCTTTTGTGATTTTGGTGAAAAACCTTTTATATCTCTTTTTACATAAGTTTAAATTTTTAATTATATTCGGTTTTTTAAGATTAAAAAAGGCTACGCTCATTAATTATTGTAAGTACTTGCACTTTCGAGAACAAAATTGATTGCTCTCCACAGTTATTCTGATAAGCGCAGTTATTGAATTCCAAGCAGCTGATAGGGATTCAATATGAAGAACAAAGTTTTAAAAACGCATACCTACCAACTACAATCTTTTGCAAAAAAAAATTGTTCCGTAGCTGGACTGAAACTTATAATGTAAGCTAAGGGGGTGTTCTAAAAAATATTTTTTTATTTTAGACTAAAAAAATTCTATACAACATTCATCATGTAAGCTAAATTTTTTGCTTTAGGCTTAAAAACCTTTGAAAGAGTATCTAGGAGAATGCTCGTTCCTTCTTAAAAGGTGATTGAACTCTTTTTAATTGCCTTGCAGTTTTCGTTTCCGCAACAAAACAAACTGAACAATAAGTGAATATTATCAACGAAAACAGGTTTGTTCTGTTCATGCCCTCTCAAAACATTTTTATTTAACGTGCGAGGGACCCCCAATCACCGAATAGCTTAATCGGTTTACAGCGTCGTGGAGTTGATTTTGGAGTGCATATTGATGAAACTCTTTGGCGACATGTTCGAGTGCTGAATTATAAATTAAAATCCCAACAGCGAAGCGGGCCAAAGTGTTTGATGTACAAATGGGTGGAGACTGGAATCGACAATGGAATTGTTCTGTGTTTTGTGTTCCCTGTGTGTTTTCCACCAAAACGCCATCCCGGCAAACAAAAGCACCAACAATAAAGGGGGCTAAAAACTGCATTCGGCTTGGCCAAAGGGGCGGATACGTTATGTGGATTGACGTGAGGCGAGTGGCAGTGAAGCTGCATCAGCCGTGCATTGACAAATGAGCACAAATCGCAATGTCGGCTCGTCGCTGTTTCTATATCCCTGATTCCCAATCCCCTTTCTGTGTTTTTCCGCTTTTTCTGTGTGTCAACGGAACCGATTGGAGGGGGAAATGGCAGCGCATTTGCATTAAAGTCTCTTTGATTGGGCCCCCAACGGGGATTTGGGACACTTTAGTTCGCATTCATCCGTCTGATCTAGCCTGACGTGTGGTGGGATCCTGTTCAACTGTGATTTGGTCGGACTTGGCAGTTAACGTAGTGTTCTTTTGTTCTTTAAAGGTGCTAATGTACGTACTTACAGATTTATAAACAACAACGGGCCTGCGTTTTCTGTACCAATCTTTTAATAATTGCAAAAATATAAATAAATGTTATCAATTATAAAAATTCATAACATATACTAAATACAGTAAACCCCTTTTAAAAGTGACGTAAACATGAGTGAAACCTTAAAATAGAAGGCTTCAGTTTGTTACGCCAAGAACGCAATCTGGGTTTCTCGGCTACAGTTTATAATTATAGAAGGCTTGGCACGATAATCCGGAAAAGTTGCTCAGGCCTCACAAAAACATAATCAGGGTCTTACGAGATCTATTACCGCAGGCCCAGCCTAAGAGCGAAAAAGGAAAATGTTTTTGCAACTTTTTGCCCAACTTAGTAGCACAAGAAGGCTGCGGAGGGAAGTGGGATAGTGGACAGTAAGATGGGAGTGCAAAGTTGCGCCAACCGGGCTCTTATCCAATTAAGTCATAACTCAATATGTGCTGAGAGATATGCACTTGGCCATTACTTAGGCAAAAGGCAAAAATTTGCTCTAATAACTTTTGAGTTTGCGCTTTCTTCCGCCTTCTTTGCCGCCGCTTGCCAGGAAGATAATTTTCACGCCAGAGCCATGTAATTTGCCCTTCTGGGGCGAAGTTTTTGGGAGCAGTTTCCAGTTTATGCAGAGCAACAGCTTCCCAACCCCTCAGCTCCCCAATTCCCCGGCTCCAGCTCCCATTTCCCTTTTCCCTTTTATGGCACCAGCGAGACGTTGCCACAACTCATTTGGCATTGACCAGGATTGGACGTTGCCGCAGTCCTCCGTGACTGAGTCTACGGACAGCTCTGGGTTGCACTATCCCCACTCTCCAACCAACCAACCATCCCTCCAGCTACCCATCCCCCAGCTGGATCTCCCAGCCAGCGGCTTCATCCACATCCGTATCCCTCATCCATCTGCAGTTGAGAGCGCGCGCGCATAAATTATTCATTTGTAATGTGCAGCATCTTTGGCCTTAGTTCTACACAGAGAAAAACACTACAAGTGCACTAGCAGCCTTAGATAAAATCTTTATACGCTATCGATTGTGAGTCATGAAGCTTTGCAACTGAGCCATAAATAAGGAAATTCTAATGCTTTTTGCTGATATATTTAAACTGATATTTAAATATCGTTTGACTTACTGACCAATAAAATAAATAATGGAACAACATTTTTTTAACTGGCTTACACATTAAACATTTCAACTATTAGCATCATGTGATAATAATATATTTTGTTTTTTTTAAATATTTGTTAATTTGAAAAATTGCTCCAAATAGTTTGTGCTTTAAAAAATATTTTTATGAATCGAATAATGCGTTCAATAATTTTTTTAGGTGCTCAGTCCATGGATATAGAGTCTGGAGTAACGGGCAGAAGTTCTGTGTGCACTTTTGGCACAGGATATGACACTGACACTCAGCGCCGGCGCTCGTCCTGCGTCAACAACTTCCTTGGCTGCTGCTGGCGTTTACTTTGGTTTGTAATTTCCTTCTGAAGCTGGGGCCGTGGCTAAAAGAAACACAGCAAGAAGTGGCACAGAAACCCCAAGAAGTGCACGGGAACATGACGATTGCAGCTGGACCTCCCCCAAATCCCGATTCCCGACTCCCGACTCTCGAACCTCGACTCCCGGGTCCTGTCCTCGTCCTTTTCTGGTTTACCGCTTTCCACCGGGGAACTGCTCCTGCTGCTGCTGCTGTTGCAGCAATTGCAAACTTAAAGTTTGCTCTCCTTTTTGTGTGTCAAAAGTTTCATTTGCGAATTGAAAAATTATTTCCAGTTGCATATATGCAGAGTGTGTCATTTGCAGAAGGGTCGGACAGAATCTCTGAACTGTGGCAGCGAAGCGAGCAGCCCAGCTCATTGACAAAATAGAAAGTTGTTGACTTGGTTTCCCCAACTCAAACTCCAAATCCTGCGCATAAGTTTCCAGCCGGGACCAGAAGTAGGCGGCACTTTTAATTATACGCACACACACGGCCCGCTTAAATTTTAATACTTTGTCTGGCTTGATCTTCTTAAACCATAAACAGTGGCGAAGCTCCTCATGGAGGCACATTAATTAATTAAAAACGCAATCGCAAAACCGAATGGAGTAAGGTTAAAGCCTTTAGCTCCACGACGGAATGGCAAAATTAAAAGGTGGCTAGAACATGCAATCCCCTTTCCTGGCTTATGTTGTGCCACCTGGAAAAAGTTAATTGCCACAGAATAAGTTTTCTACTAAGGTAATTAAATAATAATAAAAAATTATCAACACTTTAGATGCAATTATTTTAAATGCAGTTATAAATTTAGAGCACACGTAGTTTGGAACTCTGAAAAGCTTGGATACTGAATTTGACTAAAATTTTTTTAATCGAATTAAGTCACACAAAATAATACAATTTTAAGAGCTAAGTGGCCATCGCAAAGGTAAAAAAAATATTAATTTAATATCCAATACTGTAAGCTCAATTAAAATTTCTTTCCAAAAGATGCTGATGATTAAGTTTTCGTTTAATCTGAAAACAATTTTTTTTAATCAGCACTTTACTTTAATTTTTTTTAAATTTTACAGTTACCGATATTTTTTGTATAAGAGGGATACGTTGATATAAAAAAAATTAATAATATTGAAGACAAGCAAAACACCTATTTTTAAATATAGCTAGCACTTATTGAAAAGTTTAAAGTTTTTCTGGACCTTTTACTTCAACATTTTTATGTATTATTTTTTCCGCTCCATTGACTTTTAACTGCTAATAGCGAACGACATATATTTTTAGGCACCTACTACTTCGGTTGAAACGACTTTGTTGACTTCGCTTGACCACAAATTTGTCAACAGGCATGGCAACCACACCCACACTCACTCGCACTGTGAAATCATGGCTAAAAGCCGCAGACACGCACGTGCCATGCAAAAGGCGGAAACGGAAACACGCCAAGCGAGCGCCTGTGTGTGTATGTGTTGGCCTTGTTTATTGACGTTTGCACAGTCTTTGGCAATTATTCAGTTACAGCTTGTTTATTTGTGTAGATGCAAAACGGATGTAAAAGTTTGCTGGTTTAAATGTGTACGAAAAAGAGATGGTTAGGAATTAGTTTGTGGACCCTTTGCAAGTGGCACCAACGTTCCAGCGGATGCACATGCGACTCGAGTAAATGAAATCGGATGATGGGTGACAGCTTCATGAATTTCTTTATGGTCATAACAAAGTTAAAACAACCAGCTTATTATAATCTGTTACCCACTTCTGCCAAAGTATTGACCGTCAAAACTGAGTGTTGGAAGCCCCATTAAAAGGCCAATCGCGGCAAACGATTTTGCTTGAACTTTGTTGGTCTGGACAAACATTTGACCACCAGCACTTGAAAATAAAAGCCAGAAAATATTTTATCTTGGAGTCATAATAGAATGTATAACAAAACTACATAAAAATGCATTGCATAAATATATTTAAGAACTCCATTTGTTTTGTTTTTATTTATGAAATCATAAATTTACTAGAAGAAAATTATATTATTATATTTTTTTTATGAACGTGTTGTTCGCCTGAAGTTTTTGTTTCAGTGTACCCGTCAAACCTGATACTGTTGCCTAACTCATAACCATATGAAAGGGCCGCCTGCATGCGACAGGACATTGCCTAATTAAAATGGCAAATCGTCAGCCACAAACAAGGCCTTTACCAACACTCGACACAAACAACACGCTAACACAAACAACAACACGAGCAGGAGCACCACCAGCGAATTGAGATGCAAATTTATGCACCGCCTGGTCAAAAAACAGACCGGAAATGACCAAAAAACCCAAACCTCTTTCGGCCCTCAAAAGCGAACCATCCAAATTGTGCAGATACAAACATGCGGACGCATTTAGTGAAGATACATTGACACATCTGCGGGATTTTACACTCGCACTCATGGTGAATTTTTCGTACTGCATTGGAAATAAATTTAAATTTGATAAACGATTTGTTGGATAACTTTTGCTGCGCATTTGTCGCACAGACGAAAATTGATTGGTTGGCTTGATTTCCAAAAAACTTTTTTGCGGCAAAAGTTTCACCAACTTATGCAGTAATTAATTTCCATACTGTTTTGGGGGTCAATACTGCAGTTGGGCAACCATTCGTTAACTTGGTCGTAATGTTAATGGCTTATTGGAAATTTTCTATGGGCAGCTTGCTAGCGTCATTAGGCTGGCTTTTTCATAAGCTAACAGATAATGGACCTCCTTTTTTAAGCCCTGTTTCCATTTGTGCTAATGAATTTTATGAGTTTAATTACCGAAAAAGTTAAAAACTTTTTATAGAAATTCTTTAGTCAATATGCTTTCATTTCTTTTCGAAATGCAAAATATGACGGTGTTATATTATTCTGCACTAAAATCTTTAATTTGATCTAAGCCAGTTAACTTTCTTATAATTAAAGCGTTCTTTCTTGTTTCTGTATATTTTCTGACCAAATAAAACGTTCTGGCCTATGGAGTTGCCTTAGCAACAATTTCGTTATAAACAGCGTAAAGGGGTATTTAATTTTAAAATCAAATTTTACTTAATTGTTTTCTTAAGCAAAACAAATGTTGTATCCATTTCACTTTTATCCGGCAATTTCGACATTTCCACCTATAAAAGGAATTCCCTGAACTCCCACAGCAGTGTCATACAATATAAAACCATCGAGGTACTCAACTTTAACGCTATAAATGGGTTATATTTTTCTCCGAATTTTCAGACTGCTGGCTATACGTTGTTTTTGCAGTGAGTACAGATTTATCCAGATGTTACTCGCGTTGTCCGTGTAGCTACAGCAGAATGTGAGTCCGTAAGCCAGACCATCGACAAGCTCCGCGAGAACATCGCACTCAAGCGGCTTTTATGACATGGCCAAAGGGCCATTGAAGTCCTGACACTGTCCTGTGTCCTGGCACCGCCGCCCATGTGTTCGAGGGTCCTAGTGGTGCGACGCTCCTTCCTGTTTATAGTTGACCGACACTTGTCATACTCCGTGGCGTGTTCAAATGGATGGCTCCACTCCACTCCACTTTACTCCGCTCCCGACGGGCGGGGCAGTGCAATTTAAAGAGCGACAGCCAGACGATACATAAATTCAAATGCAAAGTGTCATGTCCCACACATAGATCATGATGTCCGACCTGCATGTGGGCTCAAGATACCACTGCTCTCTGCTCTATGCCCGACTCCTAAAAGAGTCATTCTGTGGTTTGGCAATTAAGTCAATGTTAACGATGCCGACCCAGACGCCCCCACAGAAAACGGACAGCGGACGACGGACAGATTTAGATACAGATACAAATACAAACACAGATATAAACAGTCGCACAGGCCACACTCGTTTCGGTGTGGAAAAATACGTTGGCAGCAATAATTAATTAGATACACAATAAATTACTCATATGCCAGTGGCAGCCCGCAAGCGAAAGGAGACAAAACGAGTCTATTTTTTCCCAAAGGCTGGAAATGATGGAATGTGTGGGAGCCGCAGGACATGGCAACAATTTATGTAGAATTTTCAACCCTTGGATGTACATTTCAGGTTATTCATGGCAGACACTCAAAATACTAATCAACCATGGTGAAGGTTACTAGCTTGGTCTTTACTTATCAAGTCAAAATATAGTGGTTTCATCTTTACTTTTCAGTTGCAAGATAATTAAAGTTAATTAAGTTTGAAAGGCTTAAGATCATATTCCTCTAATGGAGAAAATATTATTGAATGTTAATTATTTCAGTTAACTAAGCCCACTTTTTAATAAAAAAAATGTCGTGTTTCATAAGAAATATTTTTTTATGTGTACTACAAACAAGCTCTGTGAAAGAAAACTGCAAGGCAACAGCTCAGAAATCACAGTGCAAAGAAAGGAGCGGAGAACGCAGTGAAAAAATCAGAGATTGCATGAGTCGGGGAAATACGACAACGAAAAGCGAGGCAACGGCAACAAGAACTATAATTTCCTAAAGGACTTAATTATTTTATAATAAGCACATGACGCCGGAGAAGGCGAGGCGCAGAGGTATTAGCCCGACTGCAGGGACGATGGCGGAAAGGACGAAAGGATGCCCCACAAATGCAGCGCAAAAGTTGCTGAAGTTTTTCTCCTCTCGACAATCGGTCAAAGAAAAGGAGAGAGGTAAATCGCCAGAGGGGGGGTGGAAAACCCCAGCATAAATAGTGAAAATATAACAGATTGTTGTTTTCTTTCTGCGCTCTTTTCCAGCCAGTCTGCAGCTTTGCTATTTTAAATGAGTTTATGGTTGAGCAAATCTGAGCAATTAATATTGATTTGCAAAAGTTGTTGCGGCTCTTTAGTCAGCTTTTGGTTATGGCTCTTAACCAAGGACAAGATTGAATCAGGCAAGCGTGAATGGCAAAAAATATATAAAATCGATAACAACCAAGTAACCAAAACCCCGAAAGGTACAATTTCTACAAAGGATGCTCACAATCAGATGCTTTCCTCGAGTCTATTAGCTGCAAATTAAAGTTGGCTTTGTCTTATTTAATTAGCACTCGAGTCAGATCTCGATTAAAGCCCTATTTGCATAAACTTCAATCTCCCGTCGCTTAGGCGGCGAAATTTCCATTCTAGGGCTCTTGCCATAACATTAGGCCTGCATAAATTCGCATTACGCATACGCCCAGTGTGACAGCGCCCTGTGGCAAACAGGGACAAACATTTAAACACTTCAAAAACAATATAAATTCATTCAGAGCAGAGCCCGGTAGGCCATATCCCCACTATAACCATAAGCAATAAAACACACAGACCACCACGCAGACATCGCATTGGCCAAACCAACAATGCCGACAACAATGCCAACAACAATGCATAAATAAAGACCAATGCGAAACAATTGATACTTCGGCAAAAGGAACAGAGCGAACGGCCATTGAACAATTTGTACAAATTTATATTCGGAGGGAGGGGACGAAGTCAGCCAGACAACGCACATCTAAACATTAAAACAAACATGCCTAAACTTTCATGGACTGAGTTAGTTTTCCCTAGTCAGTGTTGCCAAAATCTTGCTGCATTGAAATGCTTAACCATTAACATTGTTGAACAAAAATAAATTTTGTTGCTTTTAATGTAGGGGTTACAAAAATTCGTATTATATATCCCAAAAGGAATCTTTTTGATGCACAAGTTCAAGTACTCGTACATTAATTTGACACCAACTTTCCTTTCCGAATGCATTAACAAACTGTTTTAAATTATTTCAAAAATATAATGTCACTTTATTAATTTAGTAAAAACAAAAAAATGTATGTCTAAATACGAACTTGTCTGCACTGTCGGCAGTATCAGTCGCAGCTATATCTTCAGCTTTAGGGCCATTTCCGAACCCAACCACGGTAAATTCATTTGAATTGCAAAACAAACACGAGACCAGGCCGAATGTTGACGACATTGGTGTGTACTACTATATATATAGACGCAGGGCGGGAGTCCAGCAAAACGAGCTTAATCATGTTGTAAATTTGCATCATTTGACGTGAGCGTGTGCGTGTGTAAAACTCCTTAGGAGCATCGATGTCCCAGGACTGACAGCCAAATATATAATGCAACTTCCAATATATTGCTCAGAATTCCTTAATACACCCGAATAATTTTCTGATTACAAAAATTTCAAGAATAAATATTCAAGCTGACATTGTCTAAATTTGAATTTAATTTGGGAACACTTGAGGTATTTCTTGGCAGAATCATGTAAAGTTTACTTTGTAATCATAAATAATTTAGATTATTTCGTAATAAATATTTTCAAAATTGGTAAGTCATTACCGATTTATAGTATTATTCAATTAAGTTTATTTAAATGTTTTAATTTTTTTGATGCCAGCTTAAAGTTGTTTTACACAACTGCATTTATTTAAATTTCTAACAATTAAGTGAAAAACAAACACGATGTTATTTCACTTGCCAGCGCTCATGTTAGAGTTTAATTGAGGTAGTTAGCTCTGCTGAAAACAGCTTTGGCTTTTCCCAGTCGCCACTTCTTATAAATAACAGATTTAAGCAAGTTGGATTAGCAACTTTTCCGCACTCGCAGCGATATGCAGTCGTGCGCCCCATTGCACAATCCCATTCTAAACTGTCATATAAATGTGATTATATCGACCCACCCGCCCTTTTTCCGCAGTCCGTGTCTGTCAGACATTATGACAACTTAATTGAAGGTTATGCGTGACCACAGTGCGATTCCAGGACATGCGTGGCCACCAACACAGAGCTTAATGCAGGGCACTGATCACGCATCCAACTGCATCAAATGTGATTACACAATTAGATTGCGGTTTGCTTCAACAATTGGCTAACCACTTTATAAGGAGTCATGGATTGGAAGGGGAAATATCTGCAATTTCATACTTTTGATAAAGAACAGATGATGGAAAAGTCAGCATAACCCTTTGTCCTTTCAGTGGGACTTGTTGTGCATTCAGCGAAAGCGTCACTTCTTGTTCGCTAACTGAATTGTCCTTTGCGAAACTAACAGTTTTCCGCCCCTTAAAAGCTTGTCAGTTAATAGAAAACAAGTGACACCGCCTCCAGCCAGCTTCATAATTAAGTCTAAATGAGCAGCGCCCTCCGTGCAGACCGCGCCCAAGAAAACTGGCCAAAAAGGGGGGAAATGGTGGGGGAAATGGTGGATGGAATGGTGGCTGAGTCCAGTAGAGTACATGCAAGTGTTTGCAGTTTAATGGAATTTTTAATTTCTGCCCCGCGCCGGAGCTTCAGCACTGGGAATAGCTGACATTATTACAAATTTTTTACTATTATTAAAAATGCAGAAAACATTAAAAGCGACACAAATTTGTAGCCGAAAGTCGTGCTGGGGCAGCCGTAGTTGAAAGGGGGCAAGATGATTACTTAAGTGGACATGGCCCCAATCTCCTTCGGAGGTTTGGCAGCGAGTGGAGAAGGAGTTCCAGCAGAAAGACCAGGCCACTGGCCACCATGGCGAGAGCCAGAGCAAAAAGCGCCGGGGCAAAATGCTCCAGGTCCACTTCGGCCTGCGAGGTCTTGAAGAGACTGCAATCTGGGCGGGGAACCATCCACTTCCTATCGTTGTACTGCATCAATCCACTGGCTCGCAAGTGGAGTAAAGCGTGGGCCAGGTGCTCCTTCCACGAGGAACCCTTCGGCATCACGGATCCCGAGGCGTACGGCGGGTTGAACATGATCTCCTGCAGCTCGCAGAACTCCGTTTCGCCCATTTGAAGATCCAGGAGCAACCTGTATATCCGATCGAGGGCCGTGTGGAATGCGAAGCGCCCTTGGATGATCCTCTCTGCTCCCTGCTGAAGAGTCAGGATATTGTGCTCCCCCGATCTGCAGATCTTCTTTGAATATACATCCTTTACCAACTGGTTGCTGGTGTTGGTGAACAAAGCGAAGTTGTAGGATATGTTCTCCATTCCGATGGCTAGATTGCTGTCATATAAGGCCTGCAGATTTACAATACTCCTCGAGCTCTCGGAGAGCAGGGATCCCACTATGAAGGCACCATAGAATTGCATCAACATGAAGCTGAAAACACAACTAAAACTTATGAGAAGTCGAGTTGAAAAGAGGCGAAAGATCTCGGTGGCAGGACCCTGTTGCAAGTAGGTCTCCAGCATGGTGAACCAGACGAAGGAGAAGCGGCTCTCCAATTGGGAAGTCCTCCGTTCCTGCCTCACATGAACCACCAGCAGAAGAGTGCTACCAACGACCAAAACCAGGACACAACTCCACACCTGGTTGCTCAGAGGCTCAAAGAATATGTTCCTTATGTGACTCCGGCGGGGATGGCGAAACAAGAAGTGAATGCTGCGGGGGGAGGAGGGCTGTTCTGAGATTTCATCAAGGCAGGGCTCACTGTGATTAACTCACTACTGGGTGTGCAGCACCGCCGAGTACTGGACGTAGGGCTGTCGGTCCATCACAAAGCGAAGGGGACACACGGCGAAGTCCGCCGCGCGACTCGTCACCTGACCCATCACTCCTGACCAGCTGCCGTTCTCCAGCAACTCGCCCCAGTTGTCCGTGAAACTGATGGCCAGGCTGCAGAGAGAAAAAAAGTGTATTTTTATTTAGGGCTAAAAAAAACCTTTTTTGGGTGTTCAAAGTTGTCAATGCCTTTATTTATGGCATGAAACACTTTTAGCACTTTAATTGTTAACCAAGTTTCTTTAAGTAATAAGTTTATATTCTGCTTCTTTGGTGTTTTGCACTAACTCCCAATTATAAAATATGAGTATAAATTAAATATAACAAAAATATCACACATTCAATTGAATCTTGTGGACAGGCATAAATAAACGAATAGAAATCAACCACGTCTTTTTTAAATTTTTATCTCCTCTTATTAAATATTAACATGTACTGCGGGTATCAGTTATTTAGTAATTTAATACTTTTCTCTGTAAATGAAAACTGGTTTCGCGGACCCACCTGAGATTCAACATGAGCTCCACGTGGCGAAACAACTGGTAGGTCTTCCGCTGCATGGGATCCAATTGCAGGAGCTGCTTATCGTCTGCCAGGTATTCCATGTCATCGAAGCCAGAAGGCTTCTCTGTCAGCTGGGGAAAGTGGGGGGTAAGTGAAAGTCGATAGGTGTTTTTAAAACAAAGCTACAAACCACTCACCGCAGTACTGCCTAACAGAGTGACATTTTGAAAGTTGCGCCGCCGAATCACCCAAGTGCTTCTATATTTTTCCAAGAGTTGATAACCTCTAGAAAGAGTCCATTCTCCCTTCTTTTCAACTATCAGAGCAGTGGGAACTTGCTGACTGATTCTGTACACATCATAAATGAGCCAAGAAGTGCTAAAACAATTCAGTGTTAATAAGAACTCAAAACGAAACACTTTAAAAAATTCTACTTGTTGCGAAACAATTTCTGTGGAATTTACATTCCCGCGTAAATAAAAGTGCTGAAAATTAAAACGTATCTTAAGCTTCATATAAGGTAATACACTGTTTCTCACTTATCTTGTCTCAAGGCCACCGTGATGTCCGCATCGATGCCTATGTTGTAGCCACTCAACTGCTGCTCAATCAGTTGCTCGTCTGAGAGAGACTCCCTGCCAGAACCGACAATGAACCAGGCCAGCGAGTTGTTAAAGTATCCGGCCTCAGAGGCCACCTCGAAAACCCTACGTCTCACAAGGATATGCTCGAAATTCAGCACCAGGACCGCCGTGCGCGGAGAACCGTCCAGCATGAGATCCTCGAAGCTGGCCGACATTCCTGGCCGGTAAAATTGCACACGATAGTTGGCCAACAATTTCTGGTGGCATTCAATTTGCCAGTCGCCGTCAGCATCAACGCCACGGACCACCAGGACCTGGCTCAAGTGCTCCGAGCGCAGAAAGTCCTCGAAGGCTGCCAGCTCAAGGAAATTGGTATTTATGCTTTCAATTTGCAGCACGCGTAAAAATGCTGTTAAAATTATAAAGGGCCAAGAAATAACTTTCACTTGCAACTTAATCATTTTATACGGCCACTTCAGCACCGACTTTTCCGAGGGACTTGTGTTTGCTTTGTGCGGGTCTTCTGGCGTTTTTATAGGGTTTCATTTTTGCCTGCATGTGCATAATTTATTCACATTAATCACATCGGTGGGTCCTGAACACATGCAAATTGTTCGGTTGACAAGAAAATGAATTGTAAGGATGCATAATACGGTGATTGCTTTGAAAGGAACGTGGGTATTCTGCAGTTGTGGCTTGAAATAATTAAAGTAGTTCTGCAATCCTTCCAAAATACTTAAGTGCATTTGCAAAATTGTAAGTTTAAAAGTTTATTTATCTGAGAATTAAAATCGCTATTATCATTAATTTTTTGGGTGGTCGTCCGCTTTTTGTCGCCACATCGATCAAGACTTCATCAACTCCGCAAGACCCCGTTTCGAGTTGCACCTAGGAAAAAGAGGGCTCCTGCCAGCATATACCAAAAATCCAATAACTAGACGCAACATTAAGCAGGACAAAGCTGGTGGCATTAGCGTGACATTATCCGACTGCAGCCAAGAAGCTACGAGAAACGACAAAAACGCGTGTTAGCATCCACGAAAACGGAGCCAAGGACCTTAGCGTGTGTCCCCAAAGAAGAAGGGGAAGAAATGTGTGGATGGGGGATCGGGAAAAGGGAAACGGGGTGAATGTGGCACAGAAAATGTTGCGAAACTTGAAAGCAAATCCTGCAGATTGCAACTTAATTTCATGGCACGCGGCATGCAACTCGCAGGCAACTTCATTCGGGCAATTTGCTCCACGACAGCTTGCCACGTGCCAAACAAGGAGAGGGCGAGGCTAAGATAGCCGAAATGGAGGCGAGATAGAGTCCTGCGAGGACTTTAAGGCTGCTCCGAAATTAAAAGGAATTACATTCAATTTGTTGACATTTTTGCGGATGCGGATGCGGACGCGGACGCCTTTTTTGTCTTTGGCATCCTTTTGTGCCCTGCTTAGCTGACTTTCGCCGGTAATGACAAAAAACATTTTGTGCAAGGCCGCATGCAAATGAGCAGCGGGGGAAAGTGAGGCGACGGCAGGAAGAACAAGGCCATTCAAATGTATTCATTGCGAACAGGGGAAATTCGCTGGCGTTTTATCGTAAGATTTCCATCGAATACGCGACTCGCTTGCTGAAAAATCTCGAGAGCACGGAAATGTTTCCTTCACACATGCAGCGAATGACAAAAGCAAGTGCGCATACGCCCCGTTGCAAGCCAGCGAAACGCTTAAACATTTCTTTTAAATTTGTGTCTCTTCTCTCTCGACATTTTCTCACACATGACAGACGCTTTCGCATTTGCAAGTGTGCCGGGATACGTAGAAAATTTTAATTTAATTTGTCAAACAGAAATATCACGTGTGTTGTATCTACAATACAAATTATATAAATAAATTCTTAGGTATATACTGGTTGTATTTATTTATCTGAGTTGCTCTTATAATTTAAATTTCATCATGTTCATATTTCTACATTCTTAATAAAAGTAAAAAGAGCTAGCACAGCTTGCCACTTAAGTTTAATGTAATAGAACTCGCTTAAAACAAAACAGATTCCTTCGAGATTCGGACCATGGAATACATTTGCTTCGGGTATTTTAAAGCAACATCCTATTAAATTGCAACGTGAAGAAGGAGCACAAAATAAACAACGAAACATTTTAATTAATTTTGCTCCCAAAACAGAGGACATTATTATTATTATTAAATAAGATTTCTTTTTAAAAAATTACAAATTCTTCTTTCTCCGTATTATTTTTGTTGATAATTATTTTTACGTTTCAACTGCGGGGGATTTTAATTGTAGGTAAGTATGCTGGCAACCGGAAAAACTTGTCCATGGGCCAAATAAAAGCAGCCAACAAAAAGGAAGCGAAAAATCCCCGGCAGCCAGGGAAAGAAGCTCGAAATAAGTCCCTTCGAATGACGGCAACAACACGCGACTCATAATTTCTGCCCTACAGCAGCAAAAATATTGAATAAAACTTGGGTAAATTTATTAATTTCTCAAACTTTTAAATTATGAAGATTTTTTCTTATAATTTAGAGGTTTGCTGGTATTTGTAAGATAAGTTGAGCTTATGGATTTTAATCTGAAATAACATTTTATGAGTGATAAAAGAAACTTGTGATAATCCAAAAGCAATAGATTTATTCGATAATTTACACCTTAATTGTTTAATTTGGTAGCCTGCTTTTTTGTTCGCCTATTTCCAACTGAAAGTTTTCCCATTGTTAGCCTCCGCACTTCATAGCCGCTTAATGTTGGCGCGAACAGTTTTATTTGCCGACAGCAATGGGCGAGAATTCTCTCTGCAGCTGCGACTGGCCCGCATAAAGTCAACTCATTATGAAATTACTGCTGGGAACTAAGCTGCCCGAAAAGGAAAGAAAGGCGACTACGAGGATGACTGGCAGCGGAGAGAGTCGGCAAGGAAAACAAATTAAATTTAATCGATTTGTGAAAAGCTGCCAGACAACAACAACCAGTTCTCGCCAGGAATGGGTAGTGAAGTGCGGGTCCGGATGGGCTGCATGGTAAATTAAGTGAGGGCGTGTCCGCACTCCAGATTCCAGACTCCGCACTTCTGACTTCGGACTTCGGACTTCGGACTGCAGACAAAGTCTAGAACCGGAATCGGAAGCAGGAGGCCAACGAGTAGCTCTTGGCCACTTGTCGACTCTAAGCGCATTCTAAACAAATTAAAATTCAATTAAAAAGATGAAATGCCGTTTCAGGGCATGGAAATGCACGCAGAAGCGATTCTTACTGCTAACTGAGAGAGAAGAGCTGCGTTTTCTGGCCAAGTTAATGGGATGCCGCTACTTGTTCAAGGCGAATTGTAGTCGCATTCATTTAAAGTTGCGGCAACGCGTCAACGCAGTTCACAGCCATCAATGTCTCCTTACACCGAAAAAATAGAAGACACTGGTTGAATTGAAATTCTGAACCAAATAAGTTGACACAAATTTCCCAATTTGTTTTTCGTGTAGAATAATGCCGCATGCATTGGGGCCATTAATGCTCCGCTCGTCACTCGAGTGGGACTTGAGCATCACTTCCAATTACCGGGTTTCAATGCAGACGGCTTAGCGGCTGTCTTTGGCCAAGAATGTCAGCTGATGATTTTTGGTTGTCCCCTCATCAGCGGCAGTCCCGGTCATCGAAGTGCCAGCTCTCATTACGGCCACTTCTGCGGCCTTCGGCGGGCTTAGCCGCCAACTTCCATTTGGCCAGCCGTCATCCCTGGCCAACATTAAAATCGGCGTCCCTCTCAGTTCGCGCCATTACCGATTCTCATTCCCGATTCCCCTTGCCGGACGTCCGGGCCTTCTTTTTGTGCGTCGTGGCCCTGTTCGATTTGGCTTAATGGCCGGGAGCATGTTGTCGCTGCCGGTGCCGTAATGAATTGGCTGCGGACCAACCCTGTTTGCTCCCCCTTCTGGTTGAAACATTTAGCTCGAACATTCCTCAATTATCCATAGATTCATCAAAAATAGCCGATTAATATGTATGTGATGTAGAAGTGGAAGTTAAAATACATGTTTGTAAACATTTTGTGGGAATTGCTGTAAGTAACTTACAGCGCATAACGTTTTTATACCCTTGCAGAGCTAAGAGTATTATAATTTCAGTCAAATGTTTGAACACAGTGAAGGAGACACCTCAGACCCTAAAGTAATTACATTCTTGATCAGCATTACGATCGGAATCGAAATACGTCTGTACGTCGTATGTCTGTACGTCTGTCCGTCTGTTTCTATGTAAACTAGCCATTCAGTTTTAAAGCTATCTTGCTGAAACCTTACCAAAAGTTGTGATGTTATTGTACGCAGAATATAAGTTGGAACGGTACGGATCGGGCGACTATATCGGCTCCCATACGAGAGAATGAAATAAAAAATGCTCACGCCGTTGTTTTTATCAGATCGACTTGATTTCTTCAAGATGGCGTTTTCTAACTACTATTGAATTTTGGATAAAATTTTATCAAAATCGGATAACTCTATCATATAGTTGCCATACAAAAGATCGAAAAATTTAAATATAAATAATGGAAAAAAAATTATAACATCGTGGTTTTTCATAACCCTTGAATCGAGAAAAAAATTTCATTAAAGTCCGACAACGTTATCATATAGCTGCCATAGGAAAGATCGAAAAATCTATATGGAAATAAAAATATAACATCGTTGTTTTTCATCAGACAATTTTTGGTTTTCTAACTACTATTGACTTAATTATTAAGTTTCATCAAAATCGGACAACTATATCATATAGCTGTCATACGAACAATAGTCGAAAATATGGAAAATTAATAGAAAAATCGTCATAGTTTCGATGTTTGAATTTGAAGCGTACCTAATGAATTCGCCTCACTTGCATTGGAGGCTACTATATAATTTGTTTACTGGGCATAGCGAATCCCTTAAATGGAATGCCCGTAGTTAAAACGCCGCCGCCAAATAATTATTATAACGCCCCGGCTGGAAAGTAAAGTTAAAACAAGCAATTGCTGATCGCTTTCATTTTAGAATGACTTAAAAATAGTAAAGATTAAAAAATTAAAAAAAAAGGGCATTTCTATTAGACTTGTGTTATTTAACTTCATCAACCCAAGTATTTATTTATAATTTTTCACTTTTCTATCCAAGAGGGTGGACAACCGCAATGTCAGCATGCCGACATATCCTCAGCTCAATGGTCCACTCGAGGCATCGATCTGCAAATCATCTTTGGTCCAATTAAAGCCAGTTGGCTGGTCACTTGACGCAATTAAAGGGCTTGACAATCACCGCAAGAGGAGTCAGAGTCGCCCCAGCCTCTCGGGCCCGACAATAAAGGAGCTTAATTTAAAATTTAAACCCTTTTTGCTGGAGGCGGCGACCGCAACGTTTCCTGTCCCGGTCCTCGGTCCTCGGTCCTCAGTCCTCAGCCCTCAGTCCTCGTTCCCGACCCAGGATGCACTGATGAAAA